GGTAACTGGAATGTTTCAAGAATTCTCATTAATGTGTTAGAGTTTTTCCCATGTGTAACTTCTCAAAATTCCTACTGCTGGATCTTAACCTTATTTCCTCTAATTCAGACAAAGATAACCACAGACATTCCCTAGTTAATGACCAAGTTCTGATCTTGAGACCAGGTTGTTAGGTGAGTGAGGAATAGAGTATAGTACGCACATTACAATACTCAAAACAAAGAAATGGTCAAAGGAAACTCCAACTTGATGACCTTGCTTTTATTTGCACTTACCTGCAGTACTGTAATGTATAACAAAAGATAAAACTATAGTACTGTACTATACAGTAGAATCAGCAAACATTACAGTACCATACAAACAAGGTATGCTGTACCAAAAAAGATACTGCAGCTCCATCAACAAGATCCACAGAAATGTACAAAAGAAAAGTCGTAAGTTCAAGCAGCAAGTCAAAAGTCTGGACAGTTGGAAAACAGGTAGGTCATTAAACAAGGAATATTCGTACTTGACACCCCCATATAAGCAACATATATATTTGAAGACCAAGATTCTCATCATTCTCTTCTGCAAGTTCAAGGATGCCAACTCTGTGAGCCTCAGTGTTCTGAACTCCAAATCTTCATAATCTTAAAAAATGCCCCAGTTTAGGCTTTTCCAACAGCCTGTAGCAGTTGTCCCTCAGTGACCAATTCAAGAATTCTATTACACAGATAAGTGTCCAGGCAGCAGGGGATATAGGTGCCTTCAGAATTATATAGTTCTGGGTTCAAATCCTGGCTCCATCACACATTGTCTACTGGACCTTCAGAGTCTTTTCATCTCCAATTTGTCTACTGACCTAGAAAGGGCAAGGGAAATCCTGCCGCACAGGGCTGACGTAAGAATAAGAGGCAGGTTATATGGATCAGCAGACTGAGCATGAAGCTACATGAAGAGGCCCCAAAACACGGAACTCTGGGTCCCCTTCCCCTCCTGAGGACACAGCATCCACCTGAGGCCTCGCAGAGATGGCCCCAAGTACCCTGAATCTGTCCTGGCTGCTGCGCGCCAGCTCCCAGCTGCCCTGAACCCCGGAGGGCAGGCACTGAAGACTGCTCAGCCTGAGGCAGAAACTGCTTCAAAGACAGCAGCCTCAGTCAGGTGCAGTTGAAGGGACAACGTTCTGCATCCAGAGAAAAACTGGCAGACTCTGCCACCTTGTGGTGCTCCTGCAGATGATCCTACCCACCGGTCACAAGCCCCGCCCTGCTCTTCCAACTGCAATCTGCCCTCCAAATTCCTGCTCCTAGTGTATTCTCAACTTCACCTGCCAGCACCGTTGCCCCCAAAGCACCTAGTCCCAGGGATCCTCAGCTGGCTATAGATGGTTTTCCCCTTACAGGGCCAAACAGAAGTTTAGAGGGTCTCTCTCCTTCTACTGAGCCACTTAGCAGCTAGCTGCAGCACAGGGGTCTGCTATTTCAGTGGCCAATGGTGTGTCAGTACCGCCAAAGCCTCTGAACAAAACCTGTTGCTGGCTTTCCTGGCCCACTTCGGGATGACTTAAGGTGTACGGATCCCTTGCTCTCTGGGCCATCCCCAACCCAACTCCTAAGACCTATCAGTCCCCACCTCAGCTGCAGCAACAATTCTTTTGAACTACCTGAGCCTGACCACAGGATCCATGCTGGCAGTTTCCTCCTCTACTTCCCGTCTTGAGCACTGAAACTCCAAGGGAGGTAAAAGGTGACTGAAAGTCCAAAGTAGCTGGCCATAATCCAGGCTCCATGGGCTTCCAGGAAATAAAGCTGAGAAGGGCGGGGTTGAGGCTGCCTGAGCTTTCAAGCAAACAGGCTTTATTGTGCTGTGTGTGCTTGCAGCTTTGTGATCTGTGAGCTCTTAATAATTGGGTTGCTGACCTTTCAGAGGCGCTCCTTTTTCCCCTGCCGGGGTAACAGAATGGGTCAGCAGGTCTGTTCTGTTTTTAGTGCTCCATAAGCCTGCACACAACAGTGGCTGTGGACATCCAGGCCCAGGCTGGGATGGGGTGACATGGCTGAGTAGCTGGGCGTAGTTATAAGACTGACCTGCCACACACCCATTCTGAGATTGGCTGATGGAATCCATTAACATCCAAATTACCCGTGTCCCTTTCGAAATAGGTCAGAAATGCTTGGTTGCCACAATGCACAACCTAGAAAAGGTTAAAATGGGGGCTGTAAAAGCTACAAATGATACAGCCAAATTCAGGAGAGCTAGGAGCCCTGTTGGAAGGAGGGAAACGAGCCAGCATGGTGCTAAGTACTCCAAATCATCACATTAGCTGAAAACCAGCAGCATCCTCATTTTACAGATGAAAAAGTTAAGACAGGGTTAGGAACTATCTGTGCACACAAATGGTCTAAGTTTGAATTCTGATCCTGTTATTTACTAGCAAGCAAACCTAAGCAAGTTAACTAACTTCTTTGAGTCTTGTTTTCTCATCGATAAAATAGGGATACCAATGCCTGCACTGTTGGTTCTAAATAAAAATGTACATTTAGGTAAGGGTCCTCACATTGTTCTAAACCCTAAGGAGTCACTCCACTAGTGTTAATAATGATAGCTGCTGTAGCTTTTAAGGTCATATAACAAATTCAAACCCCATTTTCTGACTGTTAAATTGGGTGCCCAGGAGTAGAGAAGCTGGCTCATATTTTTTGAAATATGAAGCTGACTTCATATTTTTTGAAGTTGGGGTTTGGGATGTCAGACTGATAATCCAATAAAGTACTAAGTATAGAAGCACATACGAGATGCAGAAATGGTATAGCAGGAAGTCACCTGAAAAACAAGGTGCAGCAGCAAGTGCAGCAGCATTTTCTCCACAGTACCCACAAAGGTGGGAACCAGAGTCACTGGAAATCATTTGGGAAAACAATGACCAAGAAAGTGGCAAGGCCAAGCCTACACCTCTGGAGGATCCTTCTGGTGAGCCAGGTGGTCTGTTTCACATGTCAGACACACAAAAGCGTGTGCATGCAACATTTCTTTTTAGGTTGTACAAATACACCTCAAACTTCAATTCCTAATCTGCTCACTAAAACACACACATGACTCTCTCCTCCACCATGCTGTTTGCTTTGATGGAACAAAACAGAGAATATCTTATTTCGTCTCTAACCAGCTTCCCCCAAGAAATGTTTGGCAACGAGTGGAAAGTTCAAGAGGACACTCAGCAAATGCAGTCAATTCTACTACCATGCTGAATATCTATCAGTCTAAAATCACACTCAGAAAATAACACACAAGAGGTTTGGAGAAGGCCACTTGACACCTGTGGAATTTCAGTCAGAACCCAAACAGAGCAGATTTAAGCCCAATGAGGACACTGATGCAGTGAAATCCCTTCTACTCTGTGTACTGGTCCTTGGTAGTCTTAAAGCCTGAGCATGTTCCACTAGAGATGGAGGACCTTTGAGATACCGCTCCTAGAAGAGATGAGTTCCAACAATACTAAACATATGGCCAACGGTGGTGCCTTCTTCATCGGTTTTTTAAAACAGTGGGTGGCCAGGATATATTCCCAGTTTCACCCTTTCCACTCAGTGTCTCCAGGTAACTGAACACAGCGGATGGACTACTTACACACTACATCCCACTAAAGAAATAATGTTACAGGCTGGGGCTGTAGCTCAGTGGTGGAGTATTTACCTAACATGCACAAGCCTCTGGATTTGCTCCCAACACTATAAAAAAACAAACAAAAAACGTTAACAAGCTAACCAGCTTATGCAGAGTTATAAAAATAGTCACTTCCTTCCTGCCCTTCCAGGTTAGAGGAGCCTAAGACCCTAGATCAGGCTGTACAGAACACATGCGTGACACAACCCAAAACCCAGAGAGAGCACCCAGGCCCTATAGCTGTGCCCTCACTTCACTCCTGGGTGCCACCACTGCCCTTGATGAGCACGCTGTCCTGGGGCACATCTTCCCCAGTAATGAGGGGAAGAACACATGCAGGAGGTAAAGGGCAAGGAGACAGATACAGGCCAAGGTATCTCACTTCCATCACAGAAAGCAATTTCCCTGACCCTGTGCAAGAACACAAGGCTACATCTAAGGCTGAAACAAAGTTCCTATCTAAGGGCTGTCTGTTTAACCAGAAGGCTGGCTGAGAGGAAACCAGGAAGAGTCATGAAATCTAGCACTGCAGACTCACCACCAGAACAACAGTTCTGGGCAAACAGACATATCTCACTCCCTCACTCTCTTGGACTCACGCAGCGAAATGTTTATTTGTGCCTTCTATGTGCCAGGCACTGGGGACCAGCAATGACCCAAGCAACAAAGTGAACAGCCACAAGGCCCAACCCAGAGGCAAGAGGTCAGCTCTCTCCTCTAACACTGCAAGTGATACACAGCATGACTCCAAGCCAAGGCATGGCTTAGCCTTGACTCCTCCTATCGTAGGATGGCAATAAGCCAAACTTGCTTGCTTCACATGACCATTTCAAAATAGGTAAAACATGACTAGTTTATTTATAAACATAAAATGCTTTTAAGAAGGAAAAAAAGTTCCCAGCAGCTGGGAGGCTGAGGCAGGAGGACTGCCGTGAGTTTGAGGCCCGCCTGAGCTACACAGTGAGTTCAGGGCTAGCCTGAACTACACAGCAAGACCCTACCTCAAAAAAAAAAAAAAAAGGAAGAGAAAGAAGGGATGAAGGGAAAAGAAGACATTATTTCTTCAGTAAGATTAAAACATCTTCCTAGCAAGCAGAAAGGAAAAACAAAATAGAAAATGGCTAACTGTACAGAGTGAGGTTTTCCTCGTGAATCTAGAAGGTTTACAGAACTCAAGGCTTTAGGTCAATTCATTTCCTTCTGTTCTTTCTTCTTGGGCCCAGTAAGTCAATTAATTCACTATAAAGTAATAAACACTCTATTATCAGATTGGAGAAAATGGAAAGGCGCCCTACGAGATCTCTCTTCACAGGAAGAAGCCAGTTGTCCCCCCAGGGCAAATCAGCTGAAACCACCACAGGACAGATTCATTTAATTCTTCAAACTCAGTTTGCTGCTCAACTTCCCCTGCACATGTGAGGGGACCACACGCAAGTCCTTGAGGCCCAGCTTGTCTGAGGATCATCTCAGGCAGCTCAGTCCATCAGAGGTCCAAAAGAAATTTCCTGACCTGGGTCAAGTATTTCGGTTTCAAATAGTCACCCAGCTCCTCCTTGCTGACCCACACATGATGGCTCTTCTTCCCGGCCTGGGAAAAGTCTCCATTTAATAGTAGTGCTTTGAAGAAGAATACTTTGGCCCCAAGGTTATTCTCTGTCCGCACAGCCTGGGGGAACTTGAACTTGTAGTAGCCACAGGGTGCATTTCCTAGGAACTTGGCTTCCATGTTGTTTTCTGAAGGAGGAAAAAAAAGAATTGGGAGACAAAAACATACCCTCCAGTTTATTCTAGCTTCCAAAATCACAGAATTCTCTATGAATGCCAGTTCCAGCCCTGAAATAAAAACAATCCCTAGGAATGAAGACACAGACCACTCCTGAAAGAGCCTCTCAATCCAAATGCTTCCTGGTCCATGGAGTCCAGATTCACTGGGTCCATCCCAGGGGCCGCGTTACCCCTTGAAATCAAATTGAAGTCAGAAATGCAGTTCCAGAAACACTTTCTGGGAGTGAGAGAAGCTGACTTCTGCATACATCCTGCTCACCATCTGCGATGATACTTGGTATCTAAATAGCAAAATTCACCTGCCTTTCAAAGGGATGTCACAACAAAACACAAAAAGAACTCTAGATTTGACTTCTCTAGTGTGAAAGCAAAGTAAAAAACCAGTATCTGCAAACTGTGACCAAGGTTTAAATCCTAATCAGGCATTCTCAAGGATGGGGAAAAGGAGGGTTCATTGTTAAATGGCATCTGAGGAACTAGCTAGCTAAATGGAAAAACAGATGGATGACAACCTCAGTAGTATCACATCAAAGTAATCCTACAGATGAAAGATTTAATCAAATTTCAAATTTTCATAAACAATTTCTTCATTCTGGATGGTGGTTTCATGGGCAATTAATATTTTCTGAATTCTTCTGTATTTTTAAATTTTTCTTTTAAAAACACTGGGATATCTTCTGTGTCATTGAGAGGCACAAAATTCTACACAAGACATAAAATGCAAAAACCCCCAAAATGAAAAAATATTTGGAGCACACCTGTAATCCTAGCACTTGGATGGCTGAGGCAGGACGATCAGTGCGAGTTCAAGACCAGCCTGGGCTACAAAGTGAGCTCAAGGCCAGCCTGAACTGCATAGCGAGACCCTGTCTCAAAAAAGACTAAAAAACAAAAAAAACAAAAAAAAAAGGAAATAAAAGCACAACAAAGCCAAAGACAAAGTGATAAATTAGGAAATATATTTTTATCACATTCAACAGAGGAATATCTTCAAGTAGTGTTTTGGGGAACACCTAGAAATCAAGGAAAAAAATCAAATCCAGAAGAAATGTGACCCAAATATATTAACAAGAAGTTCACATGAAAATATCAACAACCATAGATACATTAAAAGGTACTCAACCTAAATGTTAATTAAAGAAATATAAATTAAAACAACAATAGCATATCATGGGTTTGAGATGTAGCTCAATGGAAGAGAACTTGAGCCTAACATGCTCAAGGCCCTGGGTTCAATTCCCAGCATCACAACAAACAAGAATAATGTATCATTACAAATTGGCCTTCCTTATCTGCAGGTCATGGGTCTACACTGAATACACACTGACATTTTCTTGTCATTATTCCCTAAATAGGAAGTATAACAATTACTCATACAACAATTACATTGTATTAAGTATCATAAGTAACCTAGAGATGATTTAAAGTACAAGGGAGGATGTGTGCAGGTTATATGCAAGTATTACGCTGTTTTATAGAGTCTTAGATGTTCAAATATAGAGAAGGAGAAAGGCCAGGACCCAATCCCTTGCACATACTGAAAAAAGACTGTAGTAGTAATGTTCAAAAACTTCAACCTCTATGGTTTGTATAAGAGATTAAGGGGCAAAAATGGTACCTTCACACATGTTCTGGGAATATAAATTAGGGGATATTACAAATAATTTGCCAAAATCAATTTTAATTGTACATACTCTTTTACCTAGCCAAGTCTAAAAATATATTTATTTGCTCATGTGAGCAAAGATGAATATACAAGATGTTCTCTGCAGCTTTACTTACAAAAGCAACAGACTAAGCAAATGACAGTACCTAAATATTATGAAATAGTATGCTGGCGTTAAAAACATCTAAAATCAGCCACTATATGCTGATCTGGAAAGACATTAAAAGCTATATGAGGAAAAAGGTATTTAACTCTGTGTGTGTGTTTCTATATCCTCCCATTATATACAAAAAAAGAAAATACTTATTTCTATGCTTGTATGTCCACAGAAAATTTCTAAGGATATACTTACACCAACAAAAAAACTGTCAATGGAGGTTGTCTCTGAGAAAAGAAAAGCACTTCTTATAGTATATTTACAAGATGCTATTTGGAAATTTTTCACCATATACATGAACTGCTTTCCTCATTAAAAAAAACATTAGTAGCATTCGATGAACAGTTTACACACCGTGTAGGCCCACTCACATGCAATATAAAATGTGAGCAGTGCACATCTGTGAATTATACTGGAGTATTTGTGTATATTTTCCTGGATTATCCAAACAACTCAATAATGTATATTACTTTGCCACAAGCTGGAAAAGATGTATTAAAAAATATAAGCAAATCAAAAAGAAAAAATCAGCTCATTAAAACATGAGCAAAGGATCTGAACAGCAGTTCATGAAAGAAATAGTTAACAAACACATGAAAAGATGGTTAATCTCACTAACAACAGGAATGTTCTAACCCCCAAAGGAGATCATTTTTAGCAACTATACAAGCAAAATCGAAATGTGCTATTTCACATGTTTTTGGGGTTGAGGCAACAGGGCATTCCCACACTGTTCCTAAAGATGTCAACTATTATATATACTTTCGGGAAGACAAGTGGGCAGTACATAGCAAAAACTAAGTGTGCCTAGCTTTGACCTATTAATCTCACCCCTAAAAATTCCATCTTGCAGAAATATTGGAAGTGTGAAGCCAGTGTAAAGAAAGTAACCTACTCACTTTTCTTATATATTGCTTGAGTTCATCTTTGCCACTTTTATTTTATATTACTACTTTAATAAATTTGCAATAAATATTTTTGCATAAATCAATACATTTTATTTTCTATGCATCAAATATAAAACAAATTGTTAATGTCACTTATGCATTTCCTTTAACTTTATTAATTACAAAGGAAACTCTAAGAGAAAAGCATAGAACCAAGGTGGAGCCCCTTCCATCTGGGACACAGGAAGCAGAACGTAGCAAGAATCTATCATGGAGGTTTGAGGGAGGCTGAGCACTTGAACACAATGATCCTGGCAAGTAACTCAGCTACCAACTCCTATGTGATAGCTGAGATTGAGAGCAACAAAGGCCACATTCCACTGTGACTTACTGCCTTTCCTGCAGGCCAAAGAAGCCTCTGGTTAAAAAGGGTCAAGGGGGCACACAGTGATTGCTGACATTTTGTTAAGAGCACTTATGCTAGTGGCAGGGCTGGTTAAGCAGCTGTATACCTATACCACCATATCCTTTTACTCAACAAACACTCAGCAAGTACCTACTGTGTGCCAGATAGTTTGCTGAGAGTTGAGATCATGAAGAAGAATAGACACTGTGCAGGCTTTCAATGAACTCCAAATTCTGGCTAGGGAGAAAAGTGTGCAGTAAACAAGTACTACAGTGTAACAGCATAAGTGAAAGGGCTTTTCTCCATTAGGACCTAAGCTACTACACAATAGAGGTAGCATCCAATTCATCACTGTGACCCAAGTGCCCGGAGAGGAGGGCCTGGCACACAGTAGATGTTTGCTTCATAAACTAAATAATGGCACATGCAGGTGTGATGGAAAGCCAGGAAGAGGCACTCTCTCTACCTGGATGCTCAGGGAAGATCCCAGCATGAAAAATATATGAGCAGAGTCTTAAACTGAGCAGCCAGACCAGAAAGAACTAAAGCATTCTGCCAGGAACCAGCATGCCTCAAAGCAAAGTTATATGAAAGGCCACACTAGTCAAGGAATACAAAAGCTTTGAGTCAGAACTTCAAATATGTATTAACAATGCAAGTCAGAAGACTGACAAGACAGGGATTAAGGCAGAAAGGACCTGCCTTGGTCCTTAAGCCATGCTAGAAATTTGACCTGGTATGGAAAACCTTTAAAACATTCTATACAGAGACGTAACAAGGGATTTGTGCTGCAGAAAGTTCATGTTAGCAGCACTGAAGGGTACGACACAAAAGCAAGGAGTGACTTCCTTAGCAACTCCTTCACCAGGCCAGTGTAGTGGTTCTCCTGGCAATGTCTAGAGGTATTTTTGGTTGTCACACTGAGGGTGAGGGTTAGGGGTTGGGGATGAGGTAGTCCTACTGGCTGCTAGTGGGCAGAGGTCAGAAATGCTGCTCATACTCTACAGTGCATAGGACAGCCCCACACAAAGAATTACCTGGTTTCAAACATCAACAGTGCCACAGTTGAGAAACACTGGTCTAGTCAGAAGTGAAGAGAGTCACAGCTAAAGCCAAGAGAATAAAAACAGGACTATTTGGAACAGACCAACTAGGACTCAAAGATTTATGCATGCTGGAATGAGGTAAAGAAAAACTGAGGTTTCTAGTTGAATGAACAGACAGGTCATGGAAGAAGGCAGAGAGAATAATAGAAACATCAGTTTTGAATGTACTAAAATCTCAGTGGGACAAAAATAAGACCCTCACTCATTTTAAAGAAAAAAAAAATCCTTGTCTGGATTTTTCTAGTGGAAATCTCCATTTACCTTCCCACTCTCTATCCTTAAACCCATTCTCACAGGTGGCCTATAAATTCTCCAGCTCGCTCTAAAATATAAAAACATTTTTTGAGATGAGATCTTACCATGTTGCCCAGGCTGGCATTCATCCTTGGGTTCAACTAACACCCCCACCCCCCACCGCAGGCTCTCAAGTAGCTGGAACTACAGGCATGCACCACTGCACCCAGTTCTGAAGCAAAGCTCATGAGATTTAGAGAAAGCAGAGAACTCACCTGAGAGAGTGCCCAGTGTTCGCTCGGCTGTGCCTCGGAGGGTCTCCCCTGGCTGCCACTCTACCTGGGGTAGCAACCAAACATCCTCATCTCCAAATTTCTCTCTGACTAACAGGACAAGGTTTCTGTCTAGCTTCCGATGCAATGAAGTTCGATCATTTTTTTTATCGGCTTCTATGAAAAAAAAAAAAGGGGGTCAGAGGAGGCAAAGAAGTTCAATCTACCAGAATCAAAAAACTTAAAGAGTTTTAGGATCTTTGAGGAGAGCTATAACTCTTGCTCTCAAAGAACATATAGCCAATTTACAACTCTGACCCATCTCTCAAACTCTGACCTCTTTCAGGGTATAGGCTCACACTACATTTCCTCTGTAGAGCAAAACATACTCTGAAAAAGAAACAACACCCATAAAAACTCAAACATGACCACTCCACTGGATTTATCGCTATTACTGACCTAAGTGGCCCCCACTTTCTCTGCTCTTCACTCATCTGTGAAATGATAACAGAATCCCTTGTTTTAAGAGGGATTTCTGATAAAACACAAAACTAGAAAAAAAAAGATATAATTTTTTCCACTCTGTCCTAGAGTAGGCTTAAATTCAGATAACATTCACAAAGTTTATGCAGGAAAAGGCTACCTCAACACCAAAAATAACACACACCTTTTAAAATTTGTACTAGGATAGATGTCAGGAAGAAGGGAGAGAACTTATTTTTCTCAGAGATGTTTTGTTCTGTGAAGGTGCTACTTAAAACACGAATCAGAGGCTAACCTGTTATACGATCTCCAGGTTTGAACTTTAGGAATGCCTGCTCCCATGAATCTTCCAGGTCTTGTATAAGCAATATATCCTGTCCCTCTTGCTCATCATCACAGAGGTCATCCTTCTTCTTTGCCATTTTCTGGGCTTCATCCAGAGCACGAAGTTCATGGTCTGAATACTGGCTCTTCTCTACCTCAATCTGGAAAAATTAAAAGGATGAAAAACAAAAAAAAAAAGCAAAGAAAAGAAAGGGAGTAAGTAAAAAGAAGCTACAGCATCCCTGAACAGGCTCAAAAGTTTACCACAAAATAACCAAACATACAATCAAAACACTATACAGAAAAAAACAAACACAAAAAAGAAAGAAAGAAAAAGATAAAAGGGCCACCTGCATAAAGCTTGAGTTACATTGGTCAGTATGTCAGAATGTGATTGGGCGTCAAGACTGCTACAAAGAACAGAGGACTGGGACAGGCACTGCCTGTCCACTACCACACTCCAGTCCTATCGGTCTTTGATCAGCATCTTACCTTCCTGCCTTTCCCTTTTTCCTACAATGTTTTCCATCATGTTCTTTCTCCCAAGAGATTTCTACTCATCCTTCTGATCTCAACTTAAACATCAATTTCTCGAATTCTTTGAAACCTCCCATAAATTCAAAATTAGGTGCCCCTATGAAACACATTACTCTATAATTTCCTTCCCAATACTCATAGGAGTCTGCAGTGTTATGTGATTATTTGGTTACTGGCTGCCCCCTTACCCACCGGATTGAAAACCCTGAACCACAGCTACACCTCTCTCATTCAGTATAGGATCTCTATCACAACACACTGTCTGATACACAACACTACGTGTGCTATGAACATCTATAAGGTGAATAATGATAATTTGCCAAGTGAATGAGGAAATAAGTAAATTGAGCAGAAAACACAGAAGGGTTTATAGCTTTCAATAATCCAAGACAAGAATTCTCAAATGCTCGGGAAGCATAGCACGCTTCAATCATTATGTGTGGGGACTTAACACGCTCACAACCACTACACTCGGTTTTGCCCCTATTGAATATTTCACTTGCCATTTACAGAAATAGTCCTAAGGTAAAACAGAGCAGAATTTATCACAGGCGTCTTATAGATGTGCCCTCTGCCTCCTGCTCTTCCTTTTTAACACGCATCACACGTCGGACCCCCCCACCCCCAGTCAGCGAGCGCCTGGTGAGAAGGACTAATTCCTGTCCTGTCACCACTGGATCCCAAATGCGTTACATGAATAAAAAGCGAGAGGGTCTTCAAAGAGTTGTCCAAAGAGACAACGAAGAAGGAGAAGGAAAACAGACTATTTGTTAAACCCCCTACTATATGTCAACCCAAATCAATGAAGTTACTTCTATATGCCGACGAGTACAGTGAGGTTGAGAAAGGAAATGCCTTGCTTCAGGTCACACAAACTAACTGGTCCCGAATTCAGGATCGAACCAAGTCCCGGGCGCTACTGCTTCCCGCTCGTCACCTTTAAGCCCTCATCCCTATCCTACCTGCTGCAGCACAGCTGCCATCTCTTCCTGCAGTGGGGTCAGAGGCTTGGAGATAAGCGGTGGTCGCTGCAGACACAACGCACCCAATAAACGCCATGGCGATCTGTTCTTGCAGGGTGCGCTCTCAAGAGACAGGCTGCGAGAACCCAAACTACCCGCCCAAAGCCTCTCCAGCCGTCGCCAGCCTCTCGTCACCCGTAGCAGACCGTGCCTCACGGGCGCCGCCATCTTTCTTCCTTCCCAAAATAAACCGCGGCTCCAAGAGGAGCTCTCAGCCAACCCTATACTCCCATAAGTCAACGCGGGGGCGCCGCCGTCCTCGGAACTGCTAGAACAAACCATTCCAATATGCAGCGGTGGTTGAAGTTCTCGTGTTAAGACATTTAAAAGGGGAATAATTCCCAGGTGAACACGCAGCGATAGCCTTTTAGAGCACTTAAATTTGGAAGAACACTTAATGCACCTAATAAAGAGCAACAAGATGAATTCTCTTCTGTACCCTCCCCCGCAAACACTGGTGGTGCTGGCGTCTCTCTAGGTAGGTCGACGCCTCTGACGGGTGCTGACTGGGGTCAAATTCAAGCCATGCAGGTTGTAAGAAGCGTGAGGTCTTGGATTCCGCGGTCATGGACTCAGCCCCTGACGACCAGGTAGGAATAACTGCCCCTTGGACTCCACCGCCACTTTTGGGACTGCGTTTCTGTCCGTGTCGCATGTGCTACTTGGGCGCCGGTGACCGTTAAGCCATGACTTTATCGAGCTTTGCTTCTCCACAGAGTTGTCCCCGGTGTCCCAGCCCGGACCATCCACACGGGCACCCAAGAGATGCAAGACGCGGCAGCCAAACAGGAATTTGAGAAGGAGCCTCTGAGTCACAGCAGATTCAGGTGAGGGCCACTGAGATCCAGGCCTCTGGAAGCTTTTTTTTTTTTTTTTTTGGTTTTGGTTTTTCTCCGGCACCGGGAACCGAACTCACGACCTTGCGCTTGCCAGGCAGCCGCTTTTGCCGCTGAGCTAAATCCCCAGCCCCGATCCAGGCCTCTGGAGACGCAAACCAGTGACTGCCGCCCACCACCCTCCAGAGACAGGACCAGTGAATTCCAGCCCTGTCACCATCCGCAGGACCTCATGCAAATCAAACTCGGAGACTCAGTCTTCTCTTCAAAAAATGGGGATATTGCTTAAGGGATTGTGTGTGAAAATCACATGAGATGAGCTCTGGCTCACTGCAGCTGCTCTGTGAGCCTGTGTTGGGTGAATAAGTGAATGCCAGATGTTTGTGTGTTCCCTTTCCTTTGAGATGGAGTTCGTGTCAAACTAACAGCTTTCCCTATCTTGGACACAAAATGCAGTGAGAGGAGTTTTAGATTTTGGAGCAGATCGTGCTGCACTTTGAGTTGATTGATGGTCGGGAGTGAGTTTTGTGCTCAGTCTTGGACACTGGCCTCTTGCTTCCTGCCAGTGCCACTACCTTTTTATACAGGCGATGTACCCATTTGTTTAACTTCACATCCATTTCGCAAACGTTCACTGAGAACCTGCTGTGTGTCAGGTACTATGCTAGGTATCAGAAATACAAAAGGTCATTCCTTCACTTAGATAGTTCAGTCTTTTTCAAAAAAAATAGTTACACAATTTCACCGTATTCTGAGGGGTGGTATAACAGAGGTAAGAGCTGATTGGAAGTATGAAAGAATAAATGTCTCACTTCTGATTATGTCAGCCCAGACAGTGAAGATAACGTGAAGCTGAGAAGTAAATTGGAATTCAGCTGGACAAGGTGAACAGAATCTTAGCCAAAGATAACAGTCTGTGTAAAAGCATGTAGTTTGAAAGAATATAGTGTGCTTAGGTGTGTGTAGTGACAGCTGTGGCTAGCAAGACAAGAAGAAATCAGAATAGTAAAGGTCGTGCTTGTCCATCTGGAGCTTTTACACTTTCCTCACCGGTGAAAGAGTTTAAATCAAGATTCTGTTGGAGTCATTCATTCAGCATCACTGTGATTAGGGATGTAGCGTAGTGGTAGTGTGCTTGCCTACCATGCATCAGGTCCCAAGTTTGGTCCCCAGCACTGGGGACAAAAACACAGTTAAACAGTGCTGAACACTGGCATAAACCTGGCCAAGCAGAGAAAACTCCCTGCCCACATAGAACTTAAACCCTAGTGGGTTGGGGACAGTAAATAGAAGATAAGTAAAACAATGGGAGGTTGGACTTGCAGCAAGCATACATGGCCACATTCTTTAGGAGCTTGTAGGCCATCTTGAAGACTAAGTGAGATGGGAAGCCACTGGACAGTTGAGTAGATGGTTGACACGATTATGCTTGCTTTATAAAGTCTCTTTGCCATTGTGTTGATGTTCAACCATTGAGAGAAGTCTTATAAGCAGTTTGAAAACTGGAGAAGTAATCCAGGCAAGAAATGATGGTGCTGCCGGACATGGTGACCTATGCCTGTAATCCCAGCACTCAGGAGGCTGAGGGAAGAGGATAGCTGAGAGTTCAAGGCCAGGCTGTGCTACATAATAAGTTGAAAGCCATCCTGAACTACATAGTAAGACCCTGTCTCAAAAGAAAAAGAAAAAAAAAAGAAAAGAAATGATGGTGATTGGGACCAGGCTGATAGCAGGGAATTAGTCTAAATGGTCAGAAAGCAGGATTTGTTAAGAGAAGGTGTGAGAAAAAGAGGGATGAAAAAAGACTCCAAAATTTTGCACCTGAAGAAGGTGCCTAATATCTAAGTGGAGATACAACATAGAGGAGAGATTTGGGTGGTAAGGACGAACCAGCGAAAGGGACAACCTCCAGAGAGGCAGAAAGAAAACCAGGAAAGATTTTTTAGTGTGGTTAATGGTAAGGAGAGCAGCTGTGTCCAGGGCTGCTGATGTGATGCATTGATAAGCTGGTACCGAATTGGTGGTTGGATTTATCGATGTAGATTTGGTTGGTGATGTTGATCAGGGCATTTCTGGTGGAGTGGTAGGGGCTGATGATGGATTGGAGTGGGTTCAAGGACGATAAAAAATACAGGAAAAAACGGGAGTGTAAACAGTTTTTTCAACAGACCTTTGTTGTAAGGGGAAATAGAGAAATGGGCAGTCAAGGGAACTTCAGGTTCAAGGGCTTTGGGTTTTTTTGTTTTGTTTTTAGATTTGGGCATGACAGTATGTTTTGCCACTGAGAATGATACAGTAGAGAGGAAAAAACTACACACTGAAGTATGAGCACTGCTAGAGCAGTGTCCTTGAGGGACTAATATGCAAGCAGAACTTCGGAACAAGAGGCCTTGGGTACAGATGTTTGGTCTGGGGAGCCGGAAGGAACTGATTGCTTCGGCTTCTCTGTAGAGGTCATCAGCTGGCATTGAGGAAGCAGGAAGAAATTGGAGGTTTGAGGAGACAAAGGAAAGTGCAGGAGAGTCATCAAGAAGAATGGGAGGATGATTGAATGGGATATTGCCAGGCAGTGCTGAGGGCCTGCTCCATGCTAGCAGGCATTAAAATAACAGCGGTGATGCTCAGCCTTGACCACCTTTGACCCCAGGAGACTTTTAGCAGTATTTGAAGACGTCATTGGTTGCCACAAATTGGGGGACAGTATTTAATGAATAGAGGACAAGAATGCCGCTATAAATACCCCATAATTCACAAGACAGTCTCCCACAACAAAATATTATTTTGCCCAAAATGTCAGTAGCGGTGAGGTCGAGAAGCCGCAATCCTGGAGATGTTAGCATTGCTATATTTGCACAGGCTGAGCAGCTGGAGAGACGGATTTAACTAGAGGGAGGGGCCGCCAGGGGAGTACAACGAAGTAAGAGGAAACAGAATCGAGAGTGTCTGCGAGGGAGCAGTCATCAGGATTGGCCATGCGGTTTAGTCTAAGCAAGGAGGGAAGTGAGGACAGGAGGCATGTTGGGATGGTGGACAACTGCTGGCGTCACAGGATTGCAGGGTTTGTGGGATTGAAGGGTTCCTGGAGTGAGGATAACAGGAGAGTAAGTGGGTGTCCAGAGGTGGCCGGAGTGTGATGCTCAAAGGTCAGAATGTGGTCGCAAGTGTTGGTAATGACGAAGGTAAAGGGTGACCCTAGAGTGAGGAGCTGAGGCAGGACAGAGGGCACACGCTGTTGAAGGACATAGGCTTAGAAACAGAAGCCAAGTGGTTGGAAGCATCTTACTGAAATCACCGGCAATTACAGTAGGAATAGTGCTAAGGAAAGCTGAGCTATGCTTTGCACTTGCTACATGTATTTGCATTTTTAAAACTTGTCTCCAGAAGTTGCTAGAAAATGGATTGTCTCTGCAATTACCTTGGTGTAAGGATGGGTAGAAAGAGGCAGATGACAAGTACCTGAAAGCCTTGTCTTGCTTTTTGGGGGCTTCCTTGGGTGAGCCATTTGTTTGTTTGTACACCAAACCTGGGAGGTTTAAAGGCCGGGTCTTCCTCGGGCTTTCAGTTAAACAGATCAAGTTCTGTTGCCGTCTAAACAGCATTACATTGGTTAAACTCAGACTTCAGTAGACTTGGCTTTTTGACCCCCTGTCAACAGGAGAAATGATCATCTTTTAAACATTAACGTTACCTGCAAGACTTACCCACTTTCCATATCTGCATGTAGGCAGATAAGCCAACAACCTATTAGATTGTTGCAGTGTGTAAGTTCTCTTCATACCCCAGGAAAGAATAGACATGTACCCTTTGGATACCACTGTGCTATTGTTTAGTTTTGTCTTCAGAAAAGCAGCTTGGGCTGGGTAAGAGTGGTGCTCAGATGACAGTGTCTTTTCTAAAATGCAGTTCATTGTATTAGAAATTTGGCGTGGCTGTGTCAGGTCCAAGCATGAATCTGACTTGGTGTGGAACCAGGGGAGCAGCGGATTTACCCCCAGAGGTTGCTGAGTGATAGTTGTGTGTGTTCAGATTTTTAAAAAGCAGAGCATGTTATGCGAAGCTCTGAACTGGGACATACAGGTCTCAGCCGGCTTTCCTTAACAACCCTAATCCCCTATTTGTACCTGAGTTTCCTCACCTAAAAATGAAGAGAACTTGCACACTGCAAGCTGGAAGTAGACTAAAACGTAACTCAACACAGTGTCTGGGCCAGTGTTCCCGACACAGTTCACATCTGATTCACCTGGGGTATTTGGAAAATAGATTTCCTGGACCCGGTCTGCAGTCGGGGGTAAAGCTTACACACTTGGATGCTCAGGAATGACTGTTTTGCCTGCATTGAAAGCCACTGGTCTATGTATGGCCAGTTACCTGTTTTTGTAAAGTTTTATTGGAACACCACCATTTATTTATTTACTATTGTCTGTGACTATTTATCACAGAGTTTAGTAGTTGTGGCACAAACCTCTTGACCACTGGCCAGGGAAATGTAAGACATCTGCCATCTAGCCCTTACAGAAGTTTGCTGGTATATTCAGAAATGATGATAATAAGAGTATTTAAATTTTGGGCTCATTCTTAGAGAGATAAGATATTGTCTATGGTTGATAAAACAAGAAGTAGAAGTTTATTTAGATTTTTAAAATGCAGAAAGAGTAGTCTATAAAGGACTGGAAAGCAGTGATGTGATTCTCTAAGCAAGACACGGGAAGATGGGACATGTGAATTAAATTCTCTTTTCTCAGAATCAAAAGTCCCTAGATATGTCTGAAGTCAACAAGTCAAGAAATACAGTAGCTCGAAGCAGGAGTTGTAGCTTACTGGTAGAATGCTTTCCTCGCATGTGCAGGGCCCTAGGTTCGATTCCAAACAGCACAGCGGAAAGCAAAGCCCTATAAGCAGGGCACTCACAGGAGCCACAGTGGCCCCAGAGTGATTGGAAAGGAATAGTCAGGACCGCGGCACCCCGTGCAGGACGGGCCCCCCGAGGAGGACAGGGACCTGGGGGTGCTGCTTTTCATTCTGGGCTCATTTGTACTATTTTCTTTTTCTTTAAAAAAAAAAATCAAGACAATTTTAAATAAACTGTTTCTTCTAATTGCAGCGTTTTCCCTCCAGTTCCAGGAGAAGAGAGCTCTCTGCAATGGGCAGGGAAGAAATTTGAAGAGATCCCAATTGCACATATTAAAGCCACCTACAACAAGTGAGCAGGAAGGGGAGCCCCGCGTGGTCCCCTGGGGGTTTCCTTCCACTTCAGCCTCCATGGATGAGAAGTCAGGGTGCCAAGTGCTGTGTGACGGTACTGATTCAGGGTCCCCAGGCTCACCCCTTCTTATTTGAAGAAAACACCTCTGTCTTGCTAAAGGTTAGGTTTCATGAAAACGAGCCAGGGTGGGTATATTGTATTTATCAGAACTGGGTTTTTTTCCCTCTTTGGATACAATATTTCCTGGTCCTGTTCAAGAATTAGAGGAACTGTAGTAGGGGCAGACCATGAGGTGCTTACTAAGTGTTGGCTGAGTACTAAGGGGATGAGGGTGCTGGGGGAGATGGTCCACAAGTACACAGCTCAGTAGTGAAGTAACCGTAAACCCCCAAAAACTGACCCCTTCACCTTCTCACCTGGGCCCTGGTGCTCTGACCTCTGCCTCACAGGGGGAAACGTGAACGGTGAGTTCATGGCGACACGACCTGTGTTGTCTGTGGTGTGTACACAGGTGCTAAGGGAATTCCTGGCTCGGCATCGACTACAGAAACAAGTCAATTTCTTTCTCTCCCGGCCTCCTAAGGACGTAGGTTAGCACCCTCACTTCCCTGAGCAGCAGTTACATGTATATGCCTCCCTGCTTTCCCCAGCACACAGATCCAGGTGGTCTCCTCCACCAGCGTGCCCCTGGCCCGAACTTCCTGCGGCACGGAAGGCTTTCGGAACGCCAAGAAGGGCACGGGCATCGCAGCGCAGACGGCAGGCATAGCCGCAGCGGCGGTAAGTGCGCGTGCCTTGCGCTCCCTGGGTGGTGTGTCCACTTTCTGCATGGCGACCCTTGTGGAGAGTTCTTGTTGGAGTAGGTGTTCAGAAGTAGTGGCACAGCGGCACACACGCCAACCCCTGGGAGAAGTCCTGACACTGCAGGCGGCTTGAGGGCTCTGTGCACAGAGGTTCTTTTTGCTTTCTCAGCTTCCTTGCCAGGAAAACACTTGCTTTGTTTTAGGGGTCAGAGCCAAAATGATAAAGGCTTAAGAGCTGCAGCCCTCTCAGTATAAAAGCTCTTAGCATGGAGTGGGGTGGGGGTGACAGTCTGTTTGGAGAACACGTGATATAGTGAGGACTCTCACTCCAGTGTGAACTGTCACAGATTTTTCTAGAAGCAAATTGTCATGTTCTGCTGTTGGTATATTGAGCAAGTACTGTGCTGTAGACACTTTATATTCATTATTGGGAATCTTGAGAGAACCCTCAATATTAGCTACTTTTTCCACAGCCAGAGGGTGTGTGTAACTTGGTCAGAGCCAGTGAGCTGGTTCAGCTTCTTGACAGGAGCCAGCCTGGCCTAGGACCACAGCCTGCACTCTTAGCTCCATAGCGTAGGCCATACAGTGTTCATCCTCTGAAGGAAAACCTTGGTCTTCAAACAGAGCTCACCCTCCAGAGATAATGATTGCAGTGGATTAACGATCATCAAAAATCAAAGTGCTGTAAGTGCCCAGTAGTAGACAGATGATACACAGTTAAAAGAAATATGTCAGTGTTGCCAGTGGCTTCTACATGGTAGGTTATGAGTAACTTCTATAGGCCAGGCATGGTGGTGCATGCCTGTAATCCCAGCACTCAGGAAGCCGAGGCAAGATACTGCCGCAAGTTTGAGGGTAGCTTGGGCTACCTAGTGAGTTCAAAGCCAGCCTGCACTACATAGTAAGACCCTCTCTCCAAAAAAACCAAAACAAAATAAAGAGTAACTTCTATGTATTTTTCCAGTTTCTGTACAGAATTGCCTTTATCACCAAAGGAGGAAAATACATTGTAAAAATTTTAAATGATGACACTCTTTGACTTTTTTTTTTTTTTTCCAGTACCGGGAATCAAACTCATGACCTTGTGCTTGCCAGGCAGGCGCTGTGCCGCTGAGCTAAACCCCCAGCCCCTAAACAATGACACTCTTAAGTTGGGTCTTGAAATCCAGAGGGATACCTCATGGTCTGCAATTCTGCATTTACCTAAGAATCTGAGCAGTACTTAGAAATCCCCAGTAGGTGGCAGTGCTGGGCTTAAAGACGACAGTCAGTCTAGTCAGACGCCCTGCTGACTCTGCCTGCCCTCCACTGCAGCCATCTCCCCTTGCCTCTTCTGTTCTGCCTCCCTGTTTGCTCCTGTGGCTGCCATTTCCCTCTTGCTCCCAAGGCAGGAGCCAGAGATTGGGATCCAGTAGTTGTCTCTCCGGGGCCCTAACCAGTTACCACTTCTCTCCAGAAAGCTACTGTAAAGGGCGTGACCCACATCCGAGTTGTAGTGAAAGGCCTGGGCCCCGGGCGCTGGGTAAGTGACCGTGGTTCTCCACGGTGTCTGTGGAATTGGGGCTGAAGAGCTGGGTACAGGGAAGGTGGGAAAGCCCTTTTAATGGGTTTCCCCGGTATGGCCTGAAGTTTCTCCCTGCCGTTCCTCCAGTCTACTAAGCCCCTCAAAACGAGCCTGGATCACTGTTTAATTCATTGGACACTCCTTGGGTGTCTGCTGTGTGCCAGGCTCCTGAGAGTGGGAAGGCCCAGGAGACCATCTCTCAGTACACTGGAGACACACCCAGCACTGGAGGGTGGGGAGAGGTGTATGAAACAGAGGATTCTCTGGTGGTGAAGTCTGTCCTGGGGTCCCGAGCCCAGCAGAAGTGGTCTTCAGCTTTGATGCTGAAGATACGCCAAGGAGTCTCCGTCCTCCCGAGTGTACAGCACAGGGCGGCAGGTGTGGTCTGAGAGGTGGGCAGTGTGCAGAACCTGGGTCAGGGGCTTGCAGGAGCCCTTTGTGAGGGGGGAGTAAGGTATTGAGCCAGCGCTGCGCCCCACTCCACCCTCCTGCTGCACCTTGACCCTCCTGCAGCCCTGCCTGATCTGGAGACTATGGGTATCACTTCTGTGGCCATGCCATTGTCCTTTCTGCTCCTTCCAGTCTGCCATCAAGGGCCTGACCATGGGCGGCCTGGAAGTGATCTCAATCACAGACAACACCCCTCACCCGCACAACGGCTGCCGCCCCAGGAAGGCCCGGAGGCTGTGATGGGAAGGAAACCTGCCCTGGAACCCGACCTCCGCTGGACCTCTCGGAAAGCTCACTGGCAGAGCTCCCCCCACAAAAGGGCTCCCTGGATCCCTGTGCGCTCTCTGAAGGCCCTGCTCACTGCAGCCTTTGCCCGCACCCCAGCAGGGAAGGATGTGCCCCACGAGCCACGCTGTGCCTCTAGATGCAAAGGGAGCTGTGGGGACAGCAGGAGCCCAGCTCCGGCCTCTGCTCCGTAGAAATAAAGAGTTCTTTGACTGTACAATTGTGACTGTTGCCGTCAGAGTTAGAAGCAGCCATCCCAGTTGCTCCTGCAAGGGAGGGTCCGTTGCATGCCAGCCTTAGTGGGAGGGCTCACCTGGAAGCGGCAGCTGCTGCAGCCCAGAGGCTTTCTTTGGCTTCCTGTTCTCCTTATGTCCCCTCCCAGCCAGGATCTCCAGGGCGCACCACAGCAACTTTTCACACTAACGAATTGTAATTTGGCCCCAGTGGGTGAGCTTCTGGCTTTCCATCCCTGGATTCTGAGAGAAGATTCCACAGTTCGAAGCCACACTTGAGGTTAGCCGCACAGTGTGGGAGGGTTGTCCCTAGGTCACGTCTGGAGTTCCATGCTCACCACACTGAAGGGGCGGGCAGCTTCTCCACGAGCCTCACCATCCTTGCACCCAGGAGCAAGAGTCTCAAAGGTGGGTGGTGAGGAGGTTGGGCTGCAGGAACAGAGTTCCCCAGGAAGGAAGGTGGCTGACCAGAGGGACTGGGCGGGTGCACATCAAGGCTGCAGGGAAGCAAGCTAGGGTGGACCCTGGATGGTGTTGGCTGTGGGTGCAGCCCAGACCCCAGGCAGGACTGACGGCTCCTCAGTCAGGGGTCTGGGGTCGCTGGTACAGCTCAGAAGCCAAAGATGTGAGCTTCAGAGACATTGGTGAGATCCCTCTTCCGTGGATGAGCTTAATGAAGGCCAAGAGAGAGCATCGCAGAAGCCCAGAAGGAGCTGTGAAGCCCACAGAACACTTACTTTATTCACAGGAAGCTCTGGAAAAGTAGAGCCTACAAGCTCACACAGGACAGGACCCTAAAGGATCAATGGGCCTTGGCCCAGGAATGATTGATTGCTCAGCACAAGCCCCAGAGCCAGGCCTCCTTTCCCAGAGCATCCTGGGAACCGCAGAGTGCTACATTGTCACGAGCTGCCAGTGCGCACTGATGCTTTCAGGCTCTGGGTGGCCACGGAAACTGTTCTCTTAAACAGAGTTATTCTTAATCATTTAGTCTTGGTGTCTCGCAGACTGGCCCCAAACCCCTTCATCAAAGATTGACTAAAACTGGGCTGCACGTCTCTGTCCTGAGCAAAGGTGGGAGGTGTGTCTGCCTTTCCCCAGGCAAAGAGGCTGAGCCCCGCATTTGGGCCCAGAGCATCTGCACCAGCAGCGTCGGCATCGGCCTGTGGGGCACGTCCTTGTGTCTGGGAAGCAGGACCTCAAACAGTTTCTATGGGTGCAGTTTTACTTCTAAAGCTGTTGGCACAGGACTGGCGACAATAAGAGACACCTATCCTCTCCTACACAAACAAAAAAGAACAAATACAGTTTTTTTCCTTGCAGCATAAACAATGCTTTCGCTTCTTTCAGCCAAGGCCAAGACCTAGCACTGAGATGGATGATCACTGCCACAGTAAGCTTGCTTAACCCTGGCGTCGCTGGATACTAACAGAATCACATGGCGCTTTGGGAAAAACCATTTCCCAGTTGCAGCTGCCTGTGACCTAGTTCAGTTATGTCCATTTGTAAGACAGCATATAAACTCCCCAGAACTCTCCTTTATTCTCCGTGTGTGTGTGTGTGTGTGTGTGTGTGTGTGTCCTTGTTTTTTAAATCTAGGTACCATCACCTCACAGTGATGAGATGGTCCTGGCCAAAAGCAAAAGTTGTCCATTCATCAAAACTGAGCCAGCATGGTTGGTCCACACAGAGAGGCTGCATAATGCAGACACAGGTCTGGTGCGGTCACTACTGTCCCGGAGCTCATAGCCTGTGGAGGTTAGACAGGAGTGTGGCTGAGTTAGGATGAAGTTCTGTAGCAGGCAGAACCGCTGTTGTTGTTGGAGTGAAAGTATCCCCTCCATCTAGGGAAAGAAGGGAGGGCCTTAGGAGGAGATGGCAAGTGAGGCAGACGGTCTAGTGCATGGCCTTGAGATTAAAAATTAGCTAAGTAGCAGGCACAACCCACAGTAATGGGAAGATCACCGATGATCTGGTTATGACTTAGTTGGCATGAGGGTCATGGGGCACAGCCTGGATGGGTAGGCCAGTGGAGATCAAGGCAGGATTGGAGAGAAGGGAAGGGGTAAAAAATAAAAAACCAACTTGGAATCACACCAAGGATAACAACAAGCCCAACTGATGCGACGGAGAAAGGGAGGTGGGCATGTAAAAGGCTGTGGTCCAAAAGGAACTCGGGAGTCAGAGATCGTAGAGGCAGCTCATTTACAGGAGGTGAAATCAGGTACATGGGATTGAAATAAAAGTCACTTGGGTTCAGGTCAAGAAGTTATTTAAAAATGTGGAACCAGGCATGGTAGCGCAGGCCTCTGATCCCAGCACTTGCAAGGCTGAGGCAGGAGGATCCACCAAGAGTTCGAGGCCAGCCTGGGCTACATAGTAAGTTCAAGTCTAGCCTGAACTACAAAGTGAAACCCTGTCTCAGAAAACCCAAAAAGAAAAAAGAAATAGAAATTATGAGATACGGACCAAGACAGTTATCCTGCTGCTAAAGCTCCAAAGTTGATGTTGGGGACAGGGATGGAGAAGAAATTATGAGATTTAAAATCCTCAACCAGAGGGAAGAGGTGTGGAGTCTAGGAAGGAGAGGGGGGTTCAGCAAGGACAGAATGGGTAGTAGGAACTTCAGAGGACTGCTGAGAGGGAGTGAGGAGGACAGCTGTGGGGCAGAGTGCGGGCAGGGCCCGGTCCCTGTGCAGTGCCTGGGTGGGGACGCTGAGAGCGTGTGGGTGCTGAAGGGTCCCACAGTGCCAGGAAGGGTGAGACCCTGCCGTGGCCAGGATCTGTGGAACCTGTGTCTGACATCCAACATCTACTCCGCTTCTAAGCAGCTTTTATAAGGGAAGAAATACAGAAGGTCACGACCTGTGAAAAGATGCTCAATCTAACAGTAAAAAAGGGCAGGGAAATTAAAATGTATTACCATGTTCCCAGAATGTAGAGAAGCTAATCAAAGCCACAGCAGGGACGAGATGGCCCAGGAGAAAGTGGAGAATGATGAGAAGGTGGCCCGGGCTGCAAAAGCTGAAGGAAGAGACCAGGCAAAGCCAGGGGTGGAGTAGTGAGGAACAGGAGGCGCTGGCATCTTGAAGCCAAGGGGGCCAGCACTTAGGCAGGAGGGGACAGTCAGTGTGCTGACTGCTGCCTGCAGGTCAGCTGGCAGCTCCATGGGATGAGCGTGGGAAAGTGCCTGAGGGAGCAGCAGCATGGGGGTCATGATTTCCCAAAGGGACAGAGGGTGCGAGACAGACAAAAGGAAGGGAGATTTGGGCTGGTACTGAGTCTCTGGTAAAGGACGTCTTCTAGACCAGGGAGCCTGGGCAGGGATGGGCACTTTCCCTGCAACACAGCGAGCCAGGCACGGCATGCAGAGGGCAGAAGAGCCTGAGAGCTGGAAGGAAGCAGACCTTGGCAAGGCGGCAGAGGCTGGGCGTCCAAGGGAGACTGCACATGTGGGACCCAAGGACAGGTGTGCCATTGTGAGCTGGGAACAGCAGAGTCTGACATGAGCAACGTGGACACCATGACAGAAACAGAATGTCCTTGGAACCAGCACACGGGGAACCTTGTTCCTTCCAACAGTTCGTACAATTGTTGGGAAACAAAAGAGCTCTCCTTCCCCCTCGTCCTTATTGATGGATACAAATAGCTAGAGCTCCTTCAGAGGGAGACTTGGCTGTCTCTGCCCACGCTTCAGACACACAGACCTTTGGCTTCCTCCTTCCCTCGCAGGGATGTGTCATCCAGCAAGAGCAGCCCTGGCCACCGGGACGCTCTGCACAGGAGCAATGTTCCATAGCTGCACTGCCCCTGTGCAAGCCCCTGGGCCCACACGGCTCTTGAATTGTGGCCGGCGTGACTGAGAAACTGAATTCTGTATTTGACTGGAATTCATTTAAATGTAGATAGCCACATATGGCCAGTGGCTGCCATATTGGACAGTGCAGCTCTAGATGTCCTTTCCTGTGTGCCCCAAGTATGCAGAAGTAGCCACAGAAAGGCTGTGCACAGCCGGAAAAGACGGGGCCCTAAAGGCCCAGCATCAGGGGCTAGTGAGGGGAAATTACAGTACAGGCACCGGAAATGCCAGCCCGGAGACAAGCCAAGATGGGCTGCCAAGTGAGAAAGGAGGGTGTGCCGAGCGTGGTCGCTGTTTTTTATAAAAAAGGAGACAACATGTCCGTATGTTTGTATATGAACTGAATATCTGGAGAGACATACCCCAAAATGGTAGCATGCAAAATGGTAGCATCCAGAGACAGAAACCAAGTGGCCATGGAGCAGGTGGTAAGAGGACATGTGACGGTCTTGCTGTGTTGCCTAAATTGGGGTTAAAGTCACGATCCTCCTGCCTCAACCTCCCATGTAGCCAGGATTACAATTTCAAGTGTACCAATGTGTCCAGTAAGAACTTAAATTATCCCGGGCCTGGTGGTGCTGACCTGTAATCCCAGCACTCAGGAGGCTGAGGCAGGAGGATCACTGTGAGTTTGAGGCCAGCCTGGGCTACACAGTGAGACCCTGTCTCAAAAAAAAAAAAAAGAAAAACAACTTTTTACCTTTCTCACCTTTCAAAAATGGGCATCATGTGTGTGTATTTACTCATCATATTTCTGAACCAGTTAGAAAATTAGAAATACAGAACTCTTCTTTTAATGTATAGAAGCTGCAGTCAGGCATTATGTAAATTATGTGCTGAAGTGCACATGTAACATTTTCTTAATGTGTATTTTGACACATGCAGACCCTCTAACACTCCCTGTCCCCACTGATGTCTGGCAAAGGCTTCAGATTAGGCCCTGAAATTTGTTCTTGTAATTAATCTGGCTTCTCCCCACTGCAAGCCGAGGGTCAAATCACATTGTACACTTGCTCTCCAATTAGCTTAGCATGCTTTGCTGGAAAAGTTGGCCTTGGCCTTGGCGTTGTTATTGCTCAGCTGGAAGGAGGAGCGCAGAGCTGGGTGCTCGTTTCCATAGTGCCC